AGTGGAGAAGGTGCATCAGATCAGGAGCACCAGGAGGATGTTTGGATGTTTGTTTTAGAAGGTAGCGCGTCATGAATTCATCCCCCAGAGTCGCACCGGGTCGTTTCTCATCATCATTGATCCAGAATCTGCAATGTTGGACGAGTAGCTCAAATAATCTGTGATGAAAAAATGAAAGGCAGCATTTTGGATTGATTCTACGGAAGGAAACCGGTGATATTTTCTGAACCACGTGTAGCTGCAGGTCACAATGACTCCAAACAAAACACGTAGAATATTTTATTATATAAGAGACTATTTGAAGAAGAGTTCTGGAGTTTAAAATTTGTCTGTATGCGTTTGTGCACAACTAAAGATATTCAGTTTGTCACAGGGGAGAAGAGAAAATATTACAGTTTAAGGAGCTGGATTTAGAGGAATCTGACGTTTCTGCCTCAAAAAAATGACTCGAACCGATCAATCAGTTATCAGAACAATGAACCTGACAGCTGACAGCTCATGGATTAGTGATCATTGTTGTTTTATTTCTGACAGAAGTGGACACAGAACTCTTTGCCGGAGAGATTTCAAACACTTTGCAGAATGTTTTTTAACCTCCGAGTGTCTTCTGAGATTCAGCAAACGTCCATGTTGTCGCTAAAAGTTGTGTTGAAATACTTCTGTGCCAGCGTCAGATCTAGAACCAATATTTTAGGTTCTGAATGTGTCAGAATGCCTTGTCGTTTGAACCGGTTGGTCTGAGTGAGAATCTTGAATCTGCTGCTTCTTCTGATCTGATCTAAGAAGCAAACCGGTTCTTTAGGTTCATTTTCATGTTCGTCACGGTTCGAGGTGACGCTGGACGTCCACACAGCAGCTGTTTCTGGCCTCCGCGGTCCAAACAGCGTCTCCCTGAACACGGATCTGCTGGTTTGCGTCGGTGTTTCTAACCGTGTGTTGGCAGGAAGCCACTTAAACCGGCCGACATACATCCACCATCCATTATTCACGTCCACCTTTCTGCTGCACTTTATGTTCGACACGACTCCCGAGAGCTTTTACCGCTAACCTGCGACGTGCTGCAGTTACGGCGCTCCGCCATCGCGTGAGATCACTTCTATGGGTGTTTAAAATACCATCCAACAGAAGAGACGCCTGAGTTCACAGAGAATGTAAAGGCAGGTAGTTTGTAGAACAACTGTTTTCTCATTTCATTTACATGCCACAAATACACAAACAAACAAACAACCAAACCTTCAACAATGTCTGAAAACGAGTATTTTAACTTATTACTTCCTGTTTCCTGTTTACGTCAAACCTTCTACTTTTATGCCTCTTTCGAAACTCCACAACACATTTACTTCTCCATCAATCGTTTTGTTTTTTTTTAAATACAGTCGTGACTCGATAATCCGACACTAAACCCTCTTTTATGTCGGATATCAAGGCTGTCGGATTGTCAAGACGGAGGTCCAGATACAAGGAGGGCTTGATGCTGGAAGGCTCATTAGTTGTTAATATTTGTTGTTCATAGTTGTTATAATAACTAGTAGTTCTGGTCCCAATAGAACTTTCTGGTGTCTGGATATTCAGGCCCAATTAATGATGAATATCCGAATCCTCTGCGCGGTCGGGGGACACTTCCACCCCGGGGCAGCGCTCTGACGGGGTGGAAGTGTCCAGAACACACAGGCAGTACTTGGCTGCTGATGCTAGTTTAGTTAGCGCTCACACTTCTGTTTCCACCATCGGTGGCGGTGGGGGAGTGGCAGATACGCTCCACCGTTACCATCCATGTTTACTTCCATAAACACTGAGCACGCTCGCTGCGTGTGACGTCGTCGTGTCCTCTTCTGCGCATGCCGGACACTCGTATGAAGTTCACACAGCAGATCACATACAAGTCGCATTGAACTGGAAATGTGAACGAACTCATTAAAAAATCAGATTTCACAAAAAGATCTTCATTGAGCATCAAGTCCTGCAGTGTGAACGTAGCCAATCTGTGGGATTGTTCAGTCAGATAATACGCCGTCATCCTGATTGGTGACATTAAATGTCATGTCGGGGTCAGAATCCAAGGCTGTCGCTATGTTAAGGCTGTTTTTCATGGGTTCTGTTCGTTTTTCCTGAAAACCTGTTGGATAGCAGGTTTAGGATTGTTAAGGGTCAGATTATTGAGTCACGACTGTAGTTTTATGGTTGTGCTCATTTTTAAATCCTCATCCAGACCGTTCCATAAGCATACCCCACATATGGATTAACGTTAACTCTATGAGCAAACGGCTTTTAAATTGAAATTCTACTTCTGAACAACTGCCAAACTTTAATTAGCATTTCAGCAGCTTGTTGCACCACCGTCTCCGTTTCGTTTAAAACAAGCCACAGTGTTTGATGTTTCCAGAGAACACGATCTGTGAATGTGCTCGTGACGTGCAGCCTGTTGTCAACCTTCCTGAGCTTGTCTACAGGAGGTGAATTGAAACATGACAGCAGATAATTCATTTCCCTGCAGCTAACTTCCACTGCAAGCCGTCGGTGCTGATGGTGGACGAGCTGCTGTCGGCGTACCCCCACCAGCTGTCCTTCTCCGAGGCCGGCATGAGGATCATGATCACCAGCCACTTCTCCCCCAGAACCCGCCTCACCATGGCCTCCCGCATGCTCATCAACGAGGTACGAACCTGCACTTCAACATCAGCTACTTGCAAAAAAGAAAAGGAGAAAATAGTTTTGTCAGCTAAAGTTACTCTGAAAAGTGGCTGCCAAAGCTCCAGCGTCTTAGCATAAATACAAACCAAACATCTCTGTCTGGATTGTGCAGAAGAAGCAGTGGAACGAATGTTAATTTTTCCGTGGGATATCTCAGACACCTGTCGGCTGCAGACTTCGGTTTGGGTTTAAATCCAAAACCAAACAGCCACATTTGGAGGTTTGACAGAAAAGAGGAGAACAGAATACTAACTTCTGTCTCACACAAATATAACTTTTTAACTTTGTGTTGTGCAAATAAAACACAGAAAAATCGTCTCCAAATACAAAATGATTAAGTGGAAATCTCAGCGTTGTGCTGCAGACGTGACAGCTGAGACGTCGACACTCAGATCTGAACTGTGATATCAATATTGTTTGTAATATTACTGCTCAGTCGGTTTCTGTGTCGTGTGTAGCTTTTTGTTTCATGTACAATATTTCACATTTTCATTTCTCACGTGTGATATTTTATTGCCACATGTGATATTGCCTCAGTATCATGAGCAGAATGACTTTTTACTTTTCTGTTCTAGCCTTATTTTAATTCACTTAATTTGTTTTTCAGGATGTTTCTTCTTTATATCTTATTGTTTTTCTACTTTTTATAAGTTTAGCTAATCTTAGTTATCTTAGCTTATCTTAACTTATCTAAGTTTAGTTTAGCTTTGCTTATCTTAACTTATCTTACATATCTTAGCTTAGTTTATCTTGGCTTATCTCAGCTTAGTTTAGCTTCGCTTATCTTAACTTACCGTACATATCTTAGCTTAGCTTAGTTTAGCTTAGCTTAGTTGATCATATCCTATCTTTTTATCTTTTCTTCTTCTGCCTTAGCTTAACTTAGCTTAGTTTTACTTAGCTTGTCTTAAATTATCTTAGCTTAGTTTAGCTTAGCTAAGTTGATCTCATCTTATCCTGTCTTTTCTTAACTTATCTTATTCTATCTTAGCTTAGCTTAGTTTAGCTTATTTTATCTTTATTTATCTTACATATCCTAACTCAGCTTAGCTTAGCTTAGCTTATTTTAGCCTATCTTATCTTACAGGTCTTATCTTATCTTGACTTAGCTTAGCTTAGTTTAGCTTATCTTATCTTACATAGCTTCACTTAGTTTAGCTCAACATAGTTTAGCTTAGCTTATTTTATCTTATCTTAGTTTATCTTTTCTTGTCTCAACATAATGTTTCATCTGAACTTATCTTATTCTCTTATAGCTTAGTTTAGCTTAGCTTATCGTACATATCTTAACTTAGTTTATCTCAGCTTAGCTTAGCTTAGTTCATATTATCTTAGCTTATCTTCTCTTGTGTTATCTTTTCTTGCCGTATCTTATTTCAACATATTATTTAATCTGAACTTATCTTATTCTTTTATGACTTACTTTAGCTTAGCTTATTTTAGCTTATCTTATCTTACAAATCTTAGCTTATCTTAACTTATCTTAACTTATCATATATATCTCAACTGATCTTAGCTTTGTTTAGCTTAATTTTTCTAAAGATAAGAAAAGTTAATGTAAGTTACCTTTTCTTAATTTAGCTTATCTGAATTTATCTAATCCTATCATGTTCCAGAGACAAAGACTGATCAACACCACGGAGACTCGGGTCAATCGCATCACCAACGGCGACTCGGACTCGGCGGCCAGAGCTCAGGGGAGGCGGGGCCTGGAGAACGGGATGGGCGGGGCCGAGCAGGGCCTGAACGGCAGGTGCAGGCTGCAGAGGCTGGAGTCCGGCAACGAGACGGAGAACGAGAACGAGGACAACGAGAACAACGAGAACGACGAGGAGGGAGAGGGCGAGGACGACAACGGAGGGCCCCTGGTGCCCTTTAAGGTTCCAGGTACGACACAGGTGAAGGTCTAGAGCAGCATCTCAGGTGCTTCGGCCGCCGTTACACCTGTCGTCTTCTACCTGCAGCCGGCGCCTGCAACAAGCTGAAGTGGCTGACCATGTGGCCGCTGTCCCTGCTGCTGTTCTTCACGGTGCCCAACTGTGGCAAGCGGCGCTGGGAGAGGTGGTTCATGGTGTCCTTCTTCACCGCCACCGTCTGGATCGCCGGGCTCTCCTACATCATGGTCTGGATGGTCAGTCCGCTCTGTAACCTGGTCCAGATCGATCGACAGGGTCAATAGATCGGGGTTAGAGATAGAACAGGCGGGCAGTTTGTCATAATGTGGCATGAAATATGAATATTTGTGAAGAAGTCAGTGAAATTTTAGCTCCATATTTAAAATATTTTCTGAGATTTTTAATTTAAAAAAAAAAAAGCACTTTGACTCATGTTCAGCAATTTTATATTTGGTCTGGAAACAAATATTTTGACTTTTTCCATCAAACTCATCGGGGATCTTCGACTCATTCATCTCTGATTTGCTCAAAAGTTCTAGATACTCTTTAAACATTCGTCATTTTCAAGTAAATTATCCTCCTTTCCCATTATATTTTACTTATTCCTTTATTTTTGTGTTCTTACATACTTTGTAAAGCGTCTTGAAAAGCCTCATATAAGTATTATGGATTATTATTATTACTATTATGAAGTACTTTCTGAGATATATGTTGCACGTTAAAATTCGAGGCTGCTTGAGCAACAACATCTCAGGAACTATTAAAGATAAAAGCCAGATTTTTTCACTGTTATTCGTTATAATGTCATCGATTTAAAATCTGCAATATTGGCGATCAAAGAATCTCTGATTGTGGGTGTTTAAACCTTGAAATGAGTTAAACTGTCTGCCAATAATTTAGTTTTTGTGGCGCTAACCTGCTCGATCAGTCGTGAACGCTCAACCAAAACAGCTTTTATTCAGTTTTCTATTTCATATAAAAGGTACGTTTATATATTTAGTTTGTTGTTATGGCAACCTGCAGCTACGCGGGGTTCAGAAATCACCCCGAGCTGACTCCGGCATTATTAATTTGTCGTCAACATGAGCTTAAAGATGAGACTGTTCATTTTTTTCATCCTTCAACTCCTCCAGAATCAGAGATAAGTTGATCTACTCGTCCGGTATTGCAGATTCTCATCAAGTGAACAAATAAACATCATTTTAAAAATGCTAGAAATTCCATGAGACACATTAGAGTGTCTTAGATGAGAGTTTGTCAGACTGGTTGTATGAGTCTAAGGTGCTCTACTATGACAGCGTAGTATTCTCTGACTGTCTAATCCTGCATGGTGTGAACCTGGTGAGTGGAGCTGCAGCACAAATTGTTTTTGCAAATGTCCTACGAGGAAAAGAAACTCCTTCATTTTAGCGAGAAACGTTCCGCCTGCGGTGTCATGGCCGCTCGGCTTTCGTGCCTAAAATAGCGAGAAGCTGCAGCATTTAGTCACCAGATGCACCGTTTCATGATGTGTGCCGTAATTTTGGCAACTGTTGACTCCGCTTCTGTTATTAGGTCCCTTCGGCTCTGAGCTGGTTCTGGGTTTTTTTTTTTGTTGTTTTTTGGGAGATTTCTACCTGAAAAACAAAAAAAAAGCAAAAAAAAGCAGCTCCACGACCGTGAAGCCAAAATGAAAAAAACGCTCTGATGTTTAGTAGAAGTTTGTGTGAGATCTGAAAAACAGCAGCGGAAAATTAACGTTTTTTATTCTGTCTAATCAAAACTTACAAACTAAAGAGTAATAACCGGCTTTATTACAATGTGACTGGATCTGTTTTACATACTTTTAACTGCAGCTCTGCTCAATCTGATGCAGCAGAAATGAATCAGTCGAGTTCAACTTCTCAAACTTTGCGACGACAAACTAAACGTGTTTGGTGTCACACAGCTGAAAAAAATAGCATCCAGTTGCTTTTATTTTGTGTGTATTTTGCGCAAAAGCAGCTGAAACTCACACAAAAGTGATGGCGATACGTAAATATTAAGGTTTAAATCATCGTCCAGAATTCTTAGATTATTTGGACACTTGCTAAGAATGGAACTGCAAATGACAAACACTGTGTTATTCGAATGCAGTACAAATATTACAACATGGAGGAAACGGACCAATAAACTGAATCCTTGTTGTTGAAGCTCCTCCGTTGAGGTGCATCAAACTTAAAGGGAAATTTAATTCGGACTCGGTTCAATCAAAGTCTTTTAGTTTGGTTTAAAAATAAATAAATAAATTGAATAAAGATGAAAACAAAGCGGAGAATCCTTGGATTTGTTGGGTTTTCATGTATAGTTTGTGGGTAAAATGAATCCAGTCAATAATGAATGAAGCTGTAGGAGCCTCGTGTTTATATGAGTTTGGTTAAGTTCTGGTCTTATTACATTAATCAGGTTTTTCTCCAGAACTCTGTCGGGTCTCACCTTTACATGTGTCATAGTAATGTCAATTATATTTATTTTCAACACTTCTAGAAAGCAAAGGTTCATTACAACAAGACAAATGTCAAATTAGAAAGCAGATTCAGCCAATATAAAGGATCACGCAACAAAAACAAGATATTCTGAGATTCTGTCGTTTTTAAAGGGTTTTAATCCTCAATATGTAAATTACTCTGATAGCTCGTTAATGTCCTTTTTATTACTGGTAAAAGCCTTCGGCATAGCAGCTGTTGTCTTAAACGTGCTGTACAACAACCCTGACGTGAATCGACTCGACTTTAGTGTTGATTTTTTGCAAGGACAGCCCAACTGCATGAGAGTTAGCTACCAGCTAATTTGCATCGGTTGTCCCTGAGCGGGAACAAGAAAAACAACCAACAACGAAACCACCATAAATAACACTGTAGGGTCTGAACACCGGTATTTAAACTGGTTAATTTTATAATCACAATCTTTTTTTTTAACTATAAAGTTCAGCTGTTGTCTTCAACGTGCTGCGTGAAAACAAACTGGGTTGAACGAAGAAGCACGAAGAAGAAAATTGAGTAAAAGTGTTGATTTTGTCCGTCTGGTTTCAGGTGACGGTGATCGGCTTCACTCTCGGCATCCCCGACGTCATCATGGGCATCACCTTCCTGGCGGCGGGAACCAGCGTCCCCGACTGCATGGCCAGCGTCATCGTGGCGCGACAAGGTACGCAAACGCCCGCCACGAAATCGGTATTTGCTGTGAGGAAGCGCGCTGCTACAGATCGTGCCTCTCTGTTCACCTCAGGTATGGGAGACATGGCCATCTCCAACTCCATCGGCAGCAACGTGTTCGACATCCTGGTGGGCCTCGGCCTGCCCTGGGCTCTGCAGACGCTCTGCATCGACTACGGATCCATCGTGAGTTCATTTTAATTCCACCGGAGGAGGTTCTGTTGGAGTTTGTTAGATCTCTGCAGTTCATTTCCTTCCACTTGGCAGATATTATTTGTTAATCGACCTGATGAATATATTTCACTCAGTCAAGTCCTGTACCTTTATGGAAACAGAACAAGCAGAGAGAACTTAAAACTGTGCCAGAAATCCCAGTAAACAAAAAACTAAAGTGGAACTCAACATCGGTCTTAACAACCCTGGAAACCCTTAGTCGCTCTACATACTACAGATATTTTACTACTCAGCCTGCA